TATTAGAAGATTTTATTCTTAATCATGATAGTGTGAAACTTAAAATCCAAATTATGAATTTGTGATTTTGACAGCATTTATATATATATATTGAAGGGGCTGTTGAAAAAAGAGGAATATGAAGACTTGAAATCTTTAGCGTCAGGTGTCAAAATTCATAATGCTTCAAAATTTTATAGAATACAATTTGTGGCATATACTTGAGTTTAAGAAGTCTTTAGATCTATTAACTTTTACGGTTTCAATAAGGACCTAAGTGCAAATAGAAAAACTTAAGCAGTTGGCAACCCAAATTATAGATTATTGTAATTTTTTGACAATTTAGTGAAAAAAAAAATTCCCATTCCTAATTACAAATAATTCATTAGAATGAAACTTCTCCCACAATGGACTCAATTTTCAAAGTTGAGATCTGCTTATTAATTTAAAATAATGTGTTAATAATTAATTAGGTGGACAACAAATCTCAACTCCAATTTTCAGCTTATTCATGATGGTGACTGGTGCCGCTAATTGATATTGTTTGGTCCAAGGGCGGAAGCAGCTAAGGATCAGTGCAGACCAAGGCCTGCACTAGAATTTTGGGCCTAACTTGGCTCTTACATTTTTTTTAGTAGCTTATTGGACTTTCCACTTATCCAACCCAAAGGAAAAAAAATAAAAAAATGAAAAATATATTGATCCAACCCAAAACTAATTATACCTTTATGTGCTGAAATTGAAACCACGAAATTCCTAGATCCACTTTTTGTCAACTTCTTAATCTCCAACTCTCTGCTCGACGCTCTCGAGTCTTGTCCCTGAATATGGAGTCTATATCCTTGAATTGAAGGTCCCTATATATTTTTATGCAAAAGAAATCTGTTCCACCTCTGTTTGAGCACTTATTTTCTGAATATTTGAGTAGATATTTAATTGTGTGGGTAATATGTTTGACTTAATGACTTTGAGCAAAGTTGTTATTGTATGTGTGTGATTTGAATGTAGGGTAATTGTATGGAGGTTGATTTAGTGATTTGGGTACATAGAATTGACCCAATTGAGAATATTTTTTTTTCTTGATTTTACTTGTTAATTAAGTGCAAAAATCATTAACAGTTGGTTCTATAGAATTTTATATTTTTTTTCTAAGCACACTATGATTTCTTGTTTTCTTTAGATATCAAATGAAGAGATTCTTTGAAAGGACATCCATTGTAGAAAATGTCGATGGAGAGATATCGAATAAAGTGGATTTTGATGTTACACAATTCCCCACTGATCTGGACTAAACATTCCAATTTTGGATTATAATGTTAACATCCGAGATCAAGTTCGAAGAGCATACATGCTAAAGCGTCCTTGTTAGCCTCAAGATCATGACAACACAATTGATGTCACTGTATTTTCTGCAATGAACATTGTAAATAATAGATTGCACAACCGAATGGGTGATTAGTGGATGAATGATAACATATTGTTTATGTAGAAAAAGATATATTTTTGAAAACTGATAATGAAGTCACTGTATAACTATATCAAAGTATGAAACTTGTAAGGAGCAAGTATAATCTATGTTATTTTTAGTATTGTCGTAATATTGTTTATATTTTTTATCATCATTAAATCTATGGCAAAAAACTCGAAAGTTCGACATTGATTAAATTATGCTCGCACAAAATAATATTCCTAACTCCGCCCTTGAATTGTACCGACCTAATTTAACATGCATGTCACTCAAATCATTGGTTAAGCAATGTGATCACTGTGGTGGTGTTTCCTTAAAAAAAGAATTACCTAATTAGCAGTTATTTTTTGAGATCTCACCTGATCACATAAGATTTTACCGCGAATATTTAGGGATTGATAAGGTTGTTTACTTGCGAATAAACCCATGGACCCATTCTCTAACCGACAAATCTATCGTAATGCAGAAAATAAGAACTAAGGGCCTCACCAACAAGCCCTCGTCAGCTAAAACCACCAAGGATCACCGCTTCCATTTGACCATGTAGAAGGTTCTCCTAAGAGCTAAGCTTGGCCAAAGGCTCATTTTTATGCGAAGGCTCTTGGAGCCACAAGGTGATATAGCCATACGGTGTGAAGTTGATGAATCATGTAGTCGCATTACTGCAAGGCCAGGCAAGGCAAGGCACGTAGGAATCAAGGAAGTCATCATACGGCAAGCAAGCAACTACTTGCGTGGCGGCATTTACTCCCTAAGTGACAAACACACGAACTCCATGCGAACCACAGGTATAGTTAGTAGAACTATATATCAAGTGAATGATTGTGAACAACTTTTGAAAATTGAGATGACACTTACTAAAATGTTGTAACACATATTGAAAACCTATGAGTATGTTTAGTTTTTCCTTAAAAGACTAAAAAAAGCCTGCTTCTTTCATGCTTTCAGTCCTTTTTTCAACAGTATGATCTTTTATTGGAAGTCAAACTCACTAAAGAGGTTCTAAAATTGTAAAGTTAAAAAAGAGATAATCTGTTCATGGTTCAATCTAGTTCCATGTCTGTGAGCTTTGTTCCTGTTGGACAACCTAGAAATCTTGAACAAATTAACAATGTTGAATTGGGGTGTCAAAATGGGTGGATGGATCGATCCAATTAACCTATGTGTATCGAGATCCAATTCATCGGCCATCTAAAAATATGATCAATGCTTAGCAATCGGACCGAATCGTCAACCTGCTAATGGATCAGATCAGCTCAACTCATAGTTTTAAAAAAAATAATACGATTTAGAATTAGGCCATTATTGAAAAAGAAAATGAATTTTCTAATTGATGCATCACACCGTTAAGTTGTTTGAAATATAAACTAATTTTTCTTATATGATTGAAGTACATTCTAAGTAGGTTGGTATGTAGTTAACTAAAACTTTAAAAAATTAGTATAAATAGTACTTGAAATTTTATTTTAATCAAATATTGAAAAAACAATATATTACTAAAAAAAATTGGGAGTGTGATAAGTTAGAGTATGTGACATTTAAAATCAACGAAGAGATGAGAGATCATGTGAAAAGGTCAAGGCAATTTGTTCGAGTCCCCTCGGAGCCATTGAGGTGAGTACCCGATCGTAAATTTTAGGATCCCGTGGAATTAGTTGAGGTGCGCTCAAACTGGCCTAAACATCCACAATTATCCAAGAAAGAAAAAAGGGTCAGGGCAATTTGGTTGGTAGGGTTGGTACATGGGTCGTCATATTGGGAAATTAAGTTTTACATGGCTCGTATGCTATGGTGGACCAATCTTTGAACCAATCCAAATTGAACCCGCTAATTTTGATATGATTTTTTTAATAGAAAGAATCGTCTTGGGCAGCCTACTCCATTTTAACACCGTTACTTAGGGTAGTTGAAATCCAAATTCACAGTACAATCAATTTCCTCATGGGAAGAGTTCAAAAGTCACGGGTTAAAAAGACACAATTCAATTTTCAAGTATCAAATTTCAAAATGCAAAACTCGGGTATTTATTTATTAATTAAAAATATTTTTATTAATTAATTATTAAATATTTAATTTTAATATAATATAATTAACTCACCCCACTACCACCACCCCTACCGTTCCGGAGACTATTCCGACGACCGTTACAGCCACCACTCTTCTCAGGCGATCATTCTGACAACTGTTCCGGCAACTGCTCCGATTCTGGCAATTATTCCTGCGACCGTTTCGGCCACCACATATTATTTTGTGATCACAATTCAAAAATTTTGTAGGTCACAATTAATTCGTTGGTCACAGACTTCAAAATTAGTTGGCCACATATCAAAATTTATAGGTCACACAGTTACATATTTTCAAATTAGTTGATCACAGATTTTTTCACGGTCACAAATTAAAAATTTTATAGGTCACAATTTATTTCGTTGGTCACAAATCAAAAAAATTATAGGTCACATTTTATCAATCGGTCACACATTTTCAAATTTGGTCACACATCAACCAAATAGTTGGTCACATACAATATCCCACCCTCGCCACAGTCACAACATCACCCGTCGTCGCCACCAGATCCATCGCCAACCCCATAAGCGTCGGCCCCACCACAACAGCACCACCACCAACAAAGTCGTTACCACCAGATCCAGCAAAAAAAATTCCAAACGCTCAACATTTTGATAAAAAAATGATTTTTTAGGAAAAATTTTGTTGTTTTTTTTTTTTTTTTTTAACTTTTTAGCAATGGAAAAAAATTTTATAACCAATTATGAAAAAAATTATCAGTTTAATGGACAATTTTCATGTAAAAAAAAGTCAAACGAACACAAAATTTAAAAATTATCCGGATGGAAAATTATATCAATCAAACACACTTAATTAATAATTCCCTACAAAATAATTTCTAGGTACTTACTTTCCCTGAAATTCATTTTCCTTCCACCAATTTTCCATCCTTGCAATCAAACAAACCCTTAATTCTTTCAGTTTAACACTCATTTTATTCAAGGTAGACATTAATTTGGTTGATGTTTGTCGACCTTTTATTTCAATTTTCCACAAGGGTATCATCATCCGACACATCACCAAATTCAACTAATTGACTAACAGATGCAAGGTATAATTGAAATAACTTTGTAAATTTGATGACCATTTATGCTGAGAAATTAGTTTGGTGACTAAACTAGTCTATTTTGAAAGTTTTGATGAATGATTACACAACATAGTTTTTGTTAGAATCAACAATAATATTCTGACATATTATTATTGATTCTTGGATGTTACTCTTATCCGAGAATATTTACAAACTCTTCTAAAACACGGGCAATCATCAAGGTGATAAATTCATAAAGACCCGACCACTTATGTTTGGGACCCTCGACCTATAAATTAAAAATTTGTTTTGAGTTTCATTTAGAGAGAAAGAATGCATTTTTTAATAGTGATTTTTCAAGAATGTGTGGTTAAGAATTTAAAAAAAAAAAAAAAATCAAGTTGCGTGTAATATTATTTAATTGGAGAATACGTTGTTGAAAATGAGTTTTGAAAAAATGAATTTTTAATAAAATGGGACTCAAAATCTCGACCCTAAGTTCGGTCACATCTAGTGCATGTTTTGTAAAGATTAAAATCCAATTAAAATTGAAAATATAGTTATTATTGAGTCTCACTCGTCTAATAAAAGTCAACAATAACGATTAATTTTTCAATTTTAATCTCTACCGAATACGCCTCTAGTTTCATCTGAAAAATATAATAATTATGTGCTAAGACATTAATTTTTAAACATTGAAATTTGTTTCTTTTCCTAAAAAGTTTGCCACCATAGGTATAATTGTGATTCTCTAGTATCTTGGGGAAAGAAATTTTCTTCATTGGCTATTATGCCTTGAGTAGCTTGATAGCCGATTGTAGGCCCACTAGATAAGGATTAGTAGTTTACTATGATTATGTTTTTTGTTGAAATATAAAATTTTAATAAATTAATATACTCTTTTACAGTTCAATTCCAATTACATGATACCGGTTAGTTATGGAGTTGAGACCACTTTAGAACTAAAGAAAACAAGACCGAATCGACTTTTGGAACCAAAGAAAACCAGACCAAATGGGCTCATTCCACCCCCTAGTTGAACATGTTATCATGTGAAGGATCGAAGTCTAAAGTTCAAGTCTTGTTCTTACTCATTTGTAGTCCACATGTGAATCTTGATGAACAAATATATTGGCACGATAGGGAGAGGCGTCCAATGAGATGCAGTTTTTAATGGCAGACACAGGACATGCATGGTAGGTACCATTCGTGGAAAGTAAGATCAGTTAGTATCTTTGATTGCTTTGTTCACCTCTTAATTTTGCATAAAATAAGTACTTTTTTTTCTTTCAAAATCACTGTGTGTGACATAAAAGAAAGAGAATAAACTATGAAACCACAACTTTAGCTGCATTAAAATAAATGATCTTCCAAATAATAACTGAAAGTTTATAACAACATAATCCACCAAGGGACACTATGTTTTATTATGTAAAAAGGCATAGATATGCACTCATATAAAATTACATTCCATTTTGGAGAATTTAAAGCCCCTATTTCATATTCTAGGGAAAAATTAGATTAGATTCAGAAAATCAAGAAATGATTATAATAGAGTATCGTGTTTAACAATCAGTGTCATCGTACAAATCAAAATCTTCATCCAAATTGAATTGTCGGAAGGGCTCGATTTAGCTCGGAAACAAAAATGCAATATGGATAGTAAGTTGCGGACCATCATTGCTAATAATTACTCGTGTTTCTATTCTTTAAAAAAAAATCATGGCGTAAAAGCAGGAAAATAATCTATGAAGCACAACTTGAATTCTATTAAAATAAATCATCTTCCAAATGATGACTCGAGGTTTACAACAACAAAATCTACCAAGATACACTAATGTACGCATTCATATAAAATTTCCAATTTCTCCACCAATTGGAGAATTTCAAGCCCCCATTGATACTCTTAGGGAAAGTAAATAAATATAAGGCGTATTTAGTACGCAGAATTGGACAGTATTTTTTTTTTAATCCCGTCCATCGGTACAATCTACGTTACCGAACAAGCCAATAATAGTGGAAAATTGATCAAGTCTCCAAAACAAAAGCTAAAGGGGCTTTATTGAGCCCACTAGATACTCACTCTCTCGTCTACGATTAGTTAAAGATCCTTAGTTTCTAAGACAACCCATTACTATACAAACTTTAACTAGTAACATAATGGCCGTCACTTTCATGCTTAACAGCATGAAAAGGATGGATTATGCTTGCTAAATAATTATGTTTGGTCAATGATGATTTTGGTGAACAACTTTTTGAAACTTGGGTGAAAAATCTTGTCCTATTTCTCTGTTCATCAGAGCCCTCTTGTTACTGAATAATCCAGTACTATTTCCTGGAGAAGAAATGGTGACTGGTGGAATGTCGATAGAGTTAAGTTGGGGGGGTGGGTGCTGCCACTGGGGTAGTGGTCCAGCCAGCAGAAGAGTTTGAAGAAGGGGTCCAGCATCCATTACTGCTTGCAAGAACTTGCCTTTTTCTGGTAATGGCTTCTTCGGCACGATTTTCTCCGGCGATAGGACGTCGGAAAATGTTTCCGGCAATGGTGATGGTGCAAAGTTGTTTTCATCACAATCTGAGGAGGGAAGCCCAATGTTGTTCTCATCTTCATTGCTGTTGATACCACTTGAAGGGGCAGATTCTAATTGCTGTTTTGGGGACTTTTTTTGCATTTCTACTTGTTGGAAAATAAGCTGATTTTCCAACATGAGTGTTTGGCATTTTGCTTCGAATTCATCCCTTTCTCTCATAATCTTTGATAAGAGATTTTTGAGGTGGAGAATTTCATCATCTTTTCTTGAAAGTTCTTCATGCGCAGAGAGGACAGCTGTCTGTAACTCCAAAGTTGAGTACAAGAGAGAATGCTTCAAGTCCTCGATCCCCTAAATCAAGTAGCACAATGCACATTACAAACTAAAAAATACACAACCACCACAAACTAAGCTTTAATTTCCAGTAAATTGCACTAAATCCTTTTTGTCACAATGTGGGTAAAACTTTTTGCTACCCCTAAAAAAAACACAAAAATATAAAGAAAATTCAAGTTCTTGATAATCAATTGGCACATTATAATTATAGAGTACATATCTTAATAAAAACCCAAAAAATCAAAAACTACTTCAAACTAAGCATAATTCCCAATAATTTTCGATCACCTACACGAAACCTTTTTACCCCGTTCAGTAAGGTAGCCGCAAGCGTAACACTTAGTCGGAATCTTTATACTTAAATAGAAGAAACTACGAAAATATGATAGAAAGTGAAAGTTCATGAAACAAACTTACATCTTCTTGATAGTAAGCCCAGCTAAGAGGACTGCACTGATCTTCCATATGGTTGTCTAATTTAGGACAAAATGTTGTCACATAAAGAAAGAATATGTTTTATGAGGTTGTTACACTTCTTATAAGTGGTTTTCAAGTGGGCAGTTTGCTTTTTTATCTTTTACTTTTTTGGTCATAGGACATATATGGTTGGAGAGAGACAGAGGAAAGGCCAAAAGCATGAAAAGGGCAGGTGCGGCTAGCGGTTAACTTTATACTAATAGATTCTTAGTACACGATGACCCTTTTACTGTGAAGGATGTTGAGAATGTGAATCCATAGAGGGAAAGTTGGAGGCTTTGATGGGTCACCTGTAACCACCTGTTGTGTATAGAAATTCATCTCGTCCATATATATTTAAGGACCTTCTCATGTACATCAAGAATTACATAACGTCACATGACACTCTATCATTTGACTGTTTGAAATACAGTTAACTTTTTTATCGAATCATTTCCTTCCAACTTATCTTCCGGCACTGCTTCTAGACCATCCTTTATGTACAAATAGCATGATTGTATTTTTAATATCATGCTTCTAATGGTAACTGGTGAATTTAATTTATGGGAGATGATAAATATTTTAATCTTTGCATTGCAACATTCCGTTCATTAAAAATTTGCGTGTAATTATTTTATGATAATAAATCTACAAGTTTATAAAGAATACGCACAAAATATGAGGTACAATAACTTATTCAATATAAGCATAATTTGTTAAGGGATGATAAATTTCATACTGGGTATTTACCTAAATGTAGATCAACATAAAAGGGTTTGTGTTACTCCTCTTTAAAAAGTTGATATTTTAAGATAAAACCATGAGTCTTATTATAGTATTAAAGTCCATTAAATTCCAACAAGCAGTTTAATCCGATCAAGATTCAATAATGAACATGCGAATTTCAAGATTGATGCACTCAAACGAACCACCATTTTGCGAGAGTATTAATGAATAAATTTCATATCGGGTACAAAATAAACTTGAACTACTCTTCTTAACGAAGTTGACCTTTTAAAATGAAACTCAAATTTACAATAGTTTATTATTTATTGTGCATCTAGCTAGTTTTAACATGTCTCTTATTGTTTGGGAACAATTGAGATGTGCAATGTATGAAGGAAACCTCACATTATAAACCAATTTTATTGTGATAATTTAGTCATAAACTTTTTCATAGTATCAAGCAAGTATGAGAAGGGATGGGTCAAGTTTATTTCTCTAGCCATGTCCTTGGGGAGTGGCTAGTCATTTAGCATTTGCACTGGGTGAGGGTGAGCATGTCTCACGTTGCCCAAGTGTACGTAAGATGTGCATTATGTTGACACCAAGTTGCGTAAAGTATGGAATGAATACAATTTTTCAGTTCATCCAAGCAAGAAATTTTGTCAAATCTTTCATTGCATGATTTATTGAATCGAGTAATTTGCTAACACAACAATAGGTGAGAAGCGCATAAGTCATTCGATCTTGGATCAAGATTGATACATTCAAGCGTAATGAATATTGGCAAAGTTTTTGAGGTTCTAGAGTTTATTCTATTTTTATGCATTATTCTTGAATTATCACTATCGTCGGTGTTTTTCATACAAGTTTGACTTCTAATTTTAAAAGCAAAAATCAATTTTTTTGGCCATTGATTTCAAATTTATATTGTTCGCTAAACAAGAGGTTTGAAATCCATCCAAAAAGGTTAGTTTGCAAATGTTGAATTATTCTAGATGTGATTAGATTTGTATTTTGGACCAGTTATTTGTCCTTAGTTCAAACCTTCAAAATTTTCAACTTTGTTGGTTGGAAAAAACATGTTCGGTGTAGGTCGCATAACATACCAAAATCTTCTAATACAACAAAAACGACATACAACTCCTATAGAAATAATAATTATAATAATATTACTAAATCGAAAAAGTCATAAAATAAAGAATCCTCTATGACTAGGGTTTGTATTGTATAAAAATTTTCAACTTTGTTGGTTGGTAAAAACATGTTCGGTGTCGGTCGCATAACATACCAAAATCTTCTAATACAACAAAAACGACATACAACTCCTATAGAAATAATAATTATAATAATATTACTAAATCGAAAGAGTCATAAAATAAAGAATCTTCTATGACTAGGGTTTGTATCGTATAAATATTACTAAGCACCCGTTTGTTTCTCATTTTTCATCCATAAAAATGAAAAATATGACCGTTATCCGTCACATCAAGCCATCAATTTTGAATTTCTATCTCTTATGTGGGGCTCAATAACGACTATATTTTTCATTCTCATTCTACAATAATGAGAATCAAACAGGCCCTTAAAATAATAATAATTATAGAATAAAGAACACTTATTTGTAAGGGAACATGATAATAAGACAATCTTAATTTGTAAGATATTAAAAGTTTTTAAGGTTTGTAGTATGGTACAAATATGACTAAACCTAAACGTGTATCATAAATCGATGGTCAGATTGAAAAGATAAGATTATTAAGGATGAAATGATTACACACATTAGATTTACGACTTTTCCTGTGAGAGTACATGCTCTTGTTTTTCCTTTTTTGACTCACATAAAAGGAAAAGGTATGCAAAATCTTAAGTATATTTCATTTGTCCAAACAGGGAATTAGTTCCTGAACTGTGAAGTATGAACTCGTTACTTTAAAGCATTTTGTAGTTTTTCAATGTCAAGCTTAGTTGCTAATTCCCTGTTTGGAGGAATCTTTATATAATTGTAAGATTGTTTTATCGAATCATCTCATCTAAAAAATTTACATGTTAGGAAATAACTTATTTATTATTCATATTTTACTTTTAATCCACTTCTCGAATGCAAGTTGGATTATTTTTTTCTTCTTAGTAAAAATATGATATGTAAAGTTTTCATAAATGGATAGTCATGAAATTTGAACGCTTTTGGACTTGACGCTCAACTAAACGGAGAGATATCAACGTGCCTATTTAGTTTTGCTAAAAATTAGATTTTTAGTATATTTCGATAAAAATTAATAAAAGTTGTGGGTTCATAAGATGTGTGCTCGAAAATGAGTTTGATAAAAAAAATTAAGAAATTAAAATTTCAATTTTGTATGACTAATCTTATCCAAAAGTCCACACATCTTCCCAGTAGAGGATGGAGGGAAAATGATATTAGAGGAGATTAATTGTGGGGTCCTCATGAGAACCTTTTGGAGAACAAAGTGAGAATTAAAGAGAAAAAAGATTAACGGCTTAGATTTCGACCAATTCAAAGAACTGTTCAAGGAAACTGCTCCACCACGCGTTTGCGTGTGGGGTCCCGACACCCTTTTATTATTTTTTTATTTTAAGGTTCTTTGTTGAATTAAAAAATATGAAATATTACTAGACATGGACAAGTTATGTCTAGAAGTGTGAGACAATACAATCTCAGTAACAATCTTAGTATACAGTAAAATGTGGACCAAACATTATATTTAGGGATATGTGTGGTACAGATGGATCTTATGTATAGTTATTGATTGAATCATACTAGAATTGAGTAATTCTAATTCAAATTTTTTTATACTAAATTTATTGAAAATTTGGTTCAATTCTAATAAGATAAACCAAGAACTCGACTAGAAATGTTTGATTCTTAGTTCTATCAATACAATACAGTTAAATTATATTTAAAATCAAATCGAACCGACCAGTTTGACTGGTTTTAGTTCACAATGACCATGAAATTTGATATCAAGTAAATGTAAAGAAATATTTTTTAAGTTTAAAAATTATCTAAAATTGTAAGCGACGAAAAACATATTAACAAATTCGTTTCTTCATCCAAATTTGATTAGTGAACTTTTAATAAGTATCGTAAGATTTCAAATCAGAATCTGTGTCTCTTCAAGGTCTTAATGGAATTTCAAATTACAAGATAACGATAATTATTGCACAATCGTAATAGATGAGAATGATTAAAAATAAATATACATAGAGGATTTATGTCCCACTAAGCCAACATAGGTAAATTGAGTTTTAAGAAACCTAAGATTGCAATTTGCAAGCACCATAATTGGCATCTTTTTTAGCCACTAATTTTAGTTAGTGATTAGTTTTTATTCTCTTGGGACTTTGTGTTACCAAACATCAGTTATCATTACCATTTCTATTATGTGCTATAGAAATTTTTACTAAGCTTATGAATATTACTATTACTAATTATAAGTAAATATGTAAATTAATATAATTATTTTTAATTTTTAAAACAATAATTAACGTGTTACTTATTTGATAATAAGGTAAGAATTTTTTTCAAAATAAGTGACTTTTGTAGTTAAAGACAAAAAAATAGAGTTGTTCAAACATACTTTTTTTTTTATGACTCAGGTGTCCAATTTTCGTTAGACTAATCCTGAGAAGTGGCGGCCTTCCCCCTGGTTCGCCACCCGTGTTAATCCAGATGCGATCACAGCTTATACACACTTGGGCCGGACATTTGACGATCCTCCTCCCAGTGGACCTCTGTCTTCCAACATTTAAATGTTGTCTTTCAGATATCGCGGGAATTCGAACATTCGATGCACCGTAGAGAACTCTCCTGCTTTACCACTGTACCATGCCCGTGAGAGCAAACATACTTATTTTTACTCTTAGGCCAACATGGGTTTTTCTTTTTTAACTAAATATGTTGGATGGATTACTTATTTTCTTATAAAAAAAAAATTATATATAAAAAAATAAGGTAATACACTTATCTAACGTCGTCCAACAAAAAACTTAATTATTTTGTAACTTACTTATAATTAATTTTTTCAAACATAGCCAAGCATGCACATATAATGCCTTACTTTTTAATCCAATAGAGTATAGCCAACAAACAAGGAGGCAAAATTTACTCATTTTGAAACATCTTTTGCCAACACAAGGCATCTATAACCTATGACAAATGGGGAAGAAATTATGTAAAAACAACAAATAATGAAATAATATAATTGGGCTACTGATGTTGTTGCGTCTTATTTATGATGTTTCAATGTATATATGCATTTGTAAATCACTTCAAGAGAGAATTAAGGAAGAGATGGAGGGTTGAAATCTACAATTTTCCACTAATTCTAGAAGATAATCATGAAGAAGACAATGAAATCTTAAAATTCAAATATTTCAATCTCCCTTCAAATTGGTTCCAAGACATCATTTCATATGAATCGACGTAGAACATTTCTAGTTGGTCAATTCTATCTATACATTTTCCTAGATATCATATTTTAGAATTCTTCTCTTCGTTAAAAGTTTATACAAAGATTACGGAAAAGAAATATCCTCAATTTTTTTTTACTTTAATTAAAATTTTATTTTAACCAATTTTCTTTTTAGCTTCTTTCGAAAGTGTAGACTCAAATACTAAATCTTGATTTTTGGTAGTGTTACTTTCTTCTTGTTCGTGCGGAAACACGGTTTTGAGCTGTTTAAGAAAATGACGGGCTAGAGTCGTGCTTTTGCCATCTTGTTTCTAGTTTAAACGTGAAAACTGCCGGTTGTCCGGGCCCCCTTCCATGCATTTTCAAAAGATCTAATCACTCCAGCACATTTCCACTTCTCATTTTCATAATACAAAATAGTTCCAAGTGCATCCCATTAAGTTTTTTTTAAATTGTTTCTTTTTTTTCAAAGAATATTCTACGAATATCCAATATGACACATGTAGGCATAATGAAATAATAAATATTGAGTTTATTTTTAGAAGTTTCAAATAGACTGATCAGTCACTATAATAATATCGAGTCGATATGTCTTGACCTCTACATCTTAGAGTCGAACCATAACATGACAAGAACTTTCCTAATCTTGCTCAAACATTAGTCGAATTACACCAAACATGTTGCACAATTTTAAAAATGTGTTGAAATAGGGTTACCTAAATAGGCAGTTAACCTATGACCATGCAAATGCATGGCCTCCCTCACTCAGCGCCATCGAACACGATACAACAAAGGCTGAAAGTCAGATTCTCAAGTTACATGCATGTATACCTTTTGACCAAACGAGGTCAAAACTCCATCGCACTCCCATTTCGACATTTGAGTAGGATGGAGTATAATAAACGTATGCAAAATCAACAAAGTTCTTAATTTATTTATTTTTCAAAATAATCGTATTAACAACGCCTTGTATAAGAATGGCATGTTCAGTACATTACAAATTGGTTAACATGTCAAGCCCAACCTCCGGGAATTCATAGAAACAAAAGAATGCTGATGTCTCAAAGAAAAAGAAAAATTTCTGGAAGAACTACTCGACCCCAAGGAATTTGCATTGCACTAAAGTACTTTCTGTATCGACAGACGTCAAATTATAATTGAGTTCCAAAAGGAAGAATTCACAAACATTTGCAGCATGTTTTGATGTACTGAACACTACTATACAATTGAAAAATTAGAATTTATTTTTTTAATCTTATACGGTGAGGTCCAATCCAGTATACCAGACAGGTTTAATCACATATATGAAAAAAGATGGACAGTGGAAAGTCCTTGGAATACAAAGCCTAAATAGAGAATTATTCACTAGAAACCCGATACTTGAGGAAGTAGAAGATTAATTCTTCCAAATTCAACATCCATAAGGAAAACAAGGCTATCCAGGTATTTATAAAAGCAAATCAAAATAAAAAGTTCGCAGCCCCAAAATGCAAATGATAAACAGAATGAACAACGAAAGCCGACAACTGCCATATGTCCGGCGGTGCAAAATAGTCTACTTCCTAGCATTTACACCTGCAGTAAAACGAGATAAAAGATTAAAAAGCAAATAATACTGATGAATTTTGAGATAGGGGAATAGTAGAAGTTTGGACAACAAACTAGGTTCTCTTTACAAGCTAATTTGGCCAGCAAATCAAATTGACAGGAGTACAAATGGTTTGATCAAATATATTCTCTATTCTCAATGTCGAAAATGCTACTCCCTAAATCTGATGGGTTAGGTAAATATTTGAGATTTAACATCATTAACCATTCTTAAAAAGGAACAAAAGTTTTTAATTTTGGTTCTAGCTTACTTCAGATAATGGCACTTCTAATGACGGCAGTACACAGATGATCGACTAAAAAATGCACAACCCATACGTCGGCAGCATTATATGCCTGAAAAGAAAAATGTCAAGTAGTTTTCAACAGGAAATTACAAAGGTGTGTTGTGCATGCACTATACACACAAAGGACAGCTCTTTAAATTATGCATAATGCAATTATTCCTGATAGAATATCATGGATAACCATAATAAACAACTTCAGCAAAAAACCTAGGCATGTCCGACTGAAAATTCAGTACTATACAGAAGATGCAAAGCCAAGTTTCAAGGCGTAAGACAATAGCAGATTAATTTCTTACTATCTCAAAGGGATACTGTCAAAACCAGAAATCCAAAATTCTACCGAGTGAAAAGGTGAAGCAGACGACAGTCAGTTTTATGAACAGCAAAAGTATCGTAATCTATGTAACCTTTAGAAAGCAGACCACCCTCCTTCGCTCTCTTCATTGTCCACGGAACCTTATGATCCTTCACCTTTATTAGATTATTTAGTTTTCCAGCCATCAGTGGCTTCTGATTTATCCTGATTCGCAAATGAGTTTTCACCTCCAGCAGCAGTTCCCCAGGAGCTTCCTGTAGCTTTACCCCATGAACTGACAGGTCCTTCAACATTGTTAGATGCTTTGTATGGGCCCCCATCTGTAGCATCAGATTTCCATTTCCCAGACGTGTTCTGGTTTCCCGAAGCAGTTTCCTTGTTCCAATTGGACTGGTTATTCCAACCAGCTGTATCCCTATTACCAGATGATGGGCCCCACCCGGTAGATACATCCCCAGTGGAAGCATTTGATGTTTTCCAGTCACTGCCTCCAGCACTGCTTTGAACATAATCTATTTTAGCGTCCACTGACGTGTTCCATCCTCCACCAGCTTGAGTGTTACCTGCACCATCGGCATCCCCTTTAGATTGATTCCAACCTGAGCTCCAACTACCTCCCCGAAACGAACTGCCTCCACTGCTGCTACTTTTCCATCCTTCACTATTACTGTTTGAACTTTTTTTCCAGCCGTACGACCTGTCATCGCCAGAATCATTTCTGTTATTCCAATCGTTAGGCCCTCCGCCTCTATAACCACCTCCCCAACCACAAAATCCTCCTTCCCTGTCAGGTCCATCTCTCCCTCCAATGCCTCCCCTGCCCATTCCTCTACCTCCATAGCCACCACGATCTGATCTCCCTCTACCCCGGAAGCCCCCACGGTCACCTCTCCCCTCCCGGCCTCCCCTCCGACTTCCAGTTCTTCCCCTGCCAGTGCCAGTATCATTTTGACCATCATTCCCTCCAAAACCATTTCCTGAATTCCAGTTACTTTTGCTGCTCCATGCACTATCCTGATTCCCACCAGTATCATCTGTTCCACATCTAGACCAATTACTTTGACCCCATCCAGTTGATGAACCAGAGGTATTGTTATCAGAAGGTTTCTGAGAGTCTTCGTTAATATTTTTATCCCAATTCCAGTGTTCCAGGAAGACTTTTTGTTATCCAGTGCTTTTCCTTTCACCCAAATACCTCGTTCATTACCAGCATCTACATTTGCACTTGATGTTTTACTCCAACCTGACGACTGGGCATCATTACTATTTTCACCCCAATCAGAAGCCTGGTTCTCAATCAAGGTGTTTCCAGTGTTCCAGGAAGACTTTTTGTTATCCAGTGCTTTTCCTTTTGCCCAACTACCTTGATCATTACGAGCATCTTCATTTGCAGTTGATGTTCCATTCCAACCTGACGACTGGCCATCATTGGAAACTTTTGAGCTGCACCAGCCAACGGATTTGTTGTTCCAATCAGGTTTTGCACTATCCAATTTATCACCACTTACACTAGTCTCTTTCTTAACTTGCCATTCTTTCTTCCATCCCAATTCTTTGTCCTCGCCAGAAACAATTTGTTTATCCCAATCATCGTTCTTACTTCCATCAGCTGATATATCTTTGTCCCAACTGCCTGCCTGACCGCTGCTCCAACTAGAATGATTCCCTGCGAAAAAATCATTACTTGAACCTTGTCTGTGTTCACCTTCCTTGTTCCAACTACTCGATTGACCCTGATCAAAAGATCTCCCTCTACCATATTGACCTCTGCCTCCTTGATCCCCTCCTCTTCCTCTTCTTCCACCCGAACCACGACCACCGTCAAAAGATTTATCCCTTCCCCAACTGCCATCTTGATCTGCATCTCTATTTCCAACCCCACCATTCTTCCAACCACCAAATCCTCCTTTGGAGTTCTCCCAACTGTCCTGATCTGACCTACCTCTTGAATGATCTTCCACATTACGATCAGGTTTCTGACCCCAACTAGACTCTCCAGCTTGTTTACTCCAGGAGGACTCACCGCCCTTTTTATTCCAAGAATACCCACCGTCCTGCTCACTCCAAGCATCACCACCTTGGTTGCCCCAAGAAGAATCGCCATCCTTTTTGTCGTAAGAATATCCATCATCCAGCTTATTCCCATTAGATCCTCCATCCTGCTTGTTCAATGAGAATCCCCCATCTTGCTTACTCCACGAAGAAGTATCCTGTTTATCCCAAGATTTACTATCCTGGTTATGCCACGAAGTTCCACCAGCAGCACCAACAGGTTTTGGTTTACTCCAGGAATCAGTCTGACCACCTGAACTAGCCTTGCTCCAAGATTGCTCTTGATTTTCCTTAGTGCCTTCAGGTTGGGACTCCACAGCTTTGTCCGAAATAGACGCCCCCTTCCCCAACCTGCTACACCACCATCTTTTTTAGCGTTGCCCCAGTTTTCATTCTGACCTTCACTTGAACCAGCAGCATCCTTCCAGGTGTTCGCTCTCGTATCTTTCTTCCAGGCACTTCCTACTGGTTGACCTAACTTTCCACCTGCATTACCCCATACGGTCTCATTCTCTGACGAAGCTCCAGTTTTGTTCCAAGCATCATTGCTTCCACCCATATCATCTCTACTTGTTCCCCAGTTACCAACTGATCCAGTTTTAGCAACCATTTTCTCATCAGTTGCGGCAGCACCCCACAATGAATTCTGATTTGGAATTGCTTTAATCTCCCAAGCAGAACCTTCTGTCCCTGCATCATAATGCAAGTAAAGTAAGCAACAGCATAGATAACTCATCTACTCACACAGGAAGCATAAATAAACTTTTCAGTAGGTTTGTAAAGTAAGGAAACAACTTCAGCTCAACAGAAAATCAGATTATCAAGCAAAATAAATAAAAAAGCTAGCTCAATCAAGAGAATCCTACAAAATCAGAATCAAAAGTCCTAGAGAATCCCATACCGATGCATTACATAATTATAATGATTTTTAGCTATATCCCGCAAGCTTGTATTCATTTTATTGATAAGGCATCATAAATCAATTACACTTAGAACATAATTTTGACAATGAAGGCTGTGTTGGTGTTACTGAAAGCTGTGGACCCAAAAACTGTGCATCTTGAAGACGTCATGCTACGTAGGACAGTCTCAAAATTAGCAATTTTAAACTAAAATGCATTGGGTACATACTAGCAATGCAGCCTGAAATAAGACATCGTCGTCCCTACCTTCTCCAGCATCATTGTCAACAGGATTGGATGAACAAACAGGACCTGATTCCTGGTGAAGTTGCAAATATTATAAAGCTAGTCAAAATAGTCGTGAGGGACCAAATTAGATGCACCGTCATAANTTTTTTTTTACAATTGGAACAAATTTTAGACCCAATGGTAGAAAAAATTATCACTTTAATGGACAAATTCCATAAAAAATAAAGTCAAATGGACACTAAACTTTCTACATTTTCCATAGAAAATTTTACCAATAAAACACAATTAATTACAATTCCCAGTAAAACATTTTATAGGAAAATCAATTCCCTGTAAAACATTTTCTTTCCACCCATTTTCCAACTTTGCAATCAAACGGACCCTTAGAACATAATTTTGACAATGAAGGCTGTGTTGGTGTTACTGAAAGCTGTGGACCCAAAAACTGTGCATCTTGAAGACGTGATGCTACGTAGGACAGTCTCAAAATTAGCAATTTTAAACTAAAATGCATTGGGTACATACTAGCAATGCAGCCTGAAATAAGACATCGTCGTCCCTACCTTCTCCAGCATCATTGTCCACAGGATTGGATGGAACAACAGGACCTGATTCCTGGTGAAGTTGCAAATATTATAAAGCTTGTCAAAATAATCGTGAGGGACCAAATTAGATGCACCGTCATAATAAAAATGAAGGAAGAACATTGTAGCTAACCGGTAAGCTTGATGGGAAAGCAGACCAAGAAGACCTGCAAAGAAATGCTAGCATTTTGGTTCAACGTAGAAAACTACAGAAGGCAGTACATGAATAGACGTATACATCATACATCAGCAAGAGAGCAATAATTTAAAATGCAAGCATCAATACAGCGTTCCGTGGATAAACAAATAGAAGGCACCACAAATATAACCATGGTAACATAAGAATAGAATACATGGGAATCAGTATTCACTTGCCTACATTCGAAAAGCAGCTTTTTATTATAGATGTTTTATGTTTACTTCTCAATTAGTAAACGCAACAAGACTTTCCTCAACAAACAATTAAAATGACAATTAGTAGACCACTCTCTATAATTTCCTTGTAGTGTCTGTTCACTCATTTCCTGTCCAGAATGAAGTGAATAAAAACATAGATATCCTTTACAGTAATAATTTGATCACCATATTCATGATAAAACATGACAAACGTCATATCAGGTGAATGTTTATTTCTGATCATCAAATCACCATAAAGTCGGTTATTATTTGCTTTTCAGAATGAAAAAGTAGTCATAATCATGAAACGTGATTTACAATTTTTAATCAAAGCTGAGAAAAGTAAATATCCCAAAATGAAAATTTTAACTTATATATTTAAATACTTTATCAGAAAAATACTTACATGTCCACACGGTGAGCACACATCCTCACCACCAAAAATAAGAACTATACATGCATAAAGATGATAAGCTTAAAAATAAATTAAAAACAGGCATCAGATACAAGTAAAACCTTTCTGTAGATAATCCTCCAGCATTCCACTTTTCACCATCTGTTGACAATGCTGTCCCATCCATCCATTCTTCAAGATAAATAAGCATTTCAATCCAGAGAACAAAATAAACCAGAGGTGGGTAGGAAGCATAAGAAACTATTCAAAGAAAAGAAAAGAAAAGAAAAAGAAGACCACAAAAATGTGATTGAAAACCATGCAACAAATTCCTACCTGTGGAACCAACTTGCGATCCAAGAAAATTGAATGACTTAACAGACCCAGAATCATCCCTAAGAAAAATGTAAATGGTATGTAAATCAGCGTGAATCAGAAACTGTACAGAACACACTGCCAAGATTTAAAAACACAGAGCTATGCTAGTGGTACATAATTAGCCTTACCTAAGGGTGTCCACCCCTCACATGGGGTGGACCCCGCATGATTAAAAACCCCATGTGAGAGGGTGGACACCCTTAGGTAAGGCAAATTATGTACAAGTAGAATTTTCCAAAAACACAAGCTTGTAATAGTATATTCACTTACCCATGAGAAATGGTAGAATTGCTTCCACGAACCTCAGAAAGATGCTCATATTTCATTACAAGAACACATAAGAACATTTATATCCGAGTCATGCAACACCAAAAGAGGATAAGGTTTATCCACATACCAGTGAGAATTTTGTGCTGAGAATCCAGCTTTACGGTGCCCTCAGAACGGCGCACAGCTACCACACGACAAAGGTCCCCCTTTACAGGGCCCAGTCGAATTCTTAATAACTGACCAACAGAACACATTCAAAGGTACCCCTTTAAAGGGCCCAGTCGAATTCTTAATAACTGACCAACAGAAAACATTCCATTATCTTCACGATTAGCTGCATTTACAATAACATGTCAAGCAGGTAAATGGAGTTAGAACTTTAATAGTGCATCTAGTGATACAATAGGAACTCAAAACCATACAGTTGTTTTTGTTCTCTCTCTCTTGCAAAGAATTGTTAGGAGACAAAGGGCATGTTGGGGATGACGGGAAATCCTCGAATCCTGAAGGAACAGCTGGTTCACTACCCTGATTTGGATTATGAAATGCAACCATAAGTTAGATGAACAAAACTGTTTCAGAAACTAATAAAACGTCCATCAAACAGGAAAAGCTCCTGCTCTTCTGGTTCTAAACATACAAACCTTATCCTTAGATGCATCACCAGAAATGTTTACTTTCTCGCATAACTGTGCTTTAACACAGATATAGCCATTATTCTCCCGTTCACTTTCATCACACAAAAATAGTATCCCTTTGTAGATTTTTTTAACTGTTCCTTGTCTATCCTGCAATGTCAATACATACTTGCATATTATCTTCAAAAAACCAAAGTGAAATAATTACTTAAAGCTTCTAATTTAAAATTACTACCAGACCTTCAATGGACCATCCGAAACCCTGACTATGTCATTAATTGATATGGTTTTGGCATGATGATCCAAAACGGTGAACAATTTTTTGTCAAAAGATGCACTCTTTAGCTCGCGCTGTTTGATAGTAACAACTGATGGTCCTTCTGAGCCTTCTTTGATGACCTATTACCAAGATGATCTATTGAAGGAAATGAATTGACATCACACAAGGATTAAGATTATGAAGTATGAGGCGTTTATACCTTTACACTGTCATCCTTCCCCGTGCCGATGACAACACCAAAATCCTTCCGACTGCAATACAAAATAGGTGAGCAAAGCATATCAGATCTGAGTAATTGTCTTCATCACAAAACATCATAACAAATAAATACTCACCCAAAAAAGACTAGATTGTGCATTTCAAAATTATTTTCCATTGTAGAGCTACACAAGCCGCCACCTTTACCATCCCCTTTGTCCTTCTTTACGGCCTGGACATGCTTCTTCTTTTGTTCGCCAAATAGTTGGGAAAGCCACTGTCCATCTTTAGATTCATCATTTTTTTGAAGGCTCAAACTTCAAGAGTTCATCATCAGTAAGCGTTACACCCCACAAACTCAGTGAGTCAATAGACACTTTTTTGTATAAATAACCATCCTTCAGCAACATCCCGTCAAGAATCTCAAACATTTGGTTAGTGTCACGGTCCCTTCGGTATTGAATCAGAGGACGAAACTCCCTACAAGTGTAAGATGAATACAATCAATTAGCAAGGAAACCATGAAATGAAACATAACGAACAGGAGCATGCAAGTTACTCGAGCTCGCTAGAGCTGATCAGTCTTGGTGCTGGGATGGCTGTCTTTTTAGCAGGAACTCCTCCGCCCTGTAAATAAAAATAACAAGAGTCAAATGTTATTAGAAATCTGAACCAACGTCAAGAAGAGTAACAAAGGTAGCTGTTAGAGGAAATAATTGATATATTGTTTCAGTTTAAAATGCAGGCATAAATATCTCGACAATATATTTGACATTGCATATAAACTATTTGGATCATGAAAAAATGAGTAGGAACTTATGAATGCATTGAGGTGTAAGAGCATTTCAACTGAGCATTGCCATGAAACCACGGCCGAGCCAAAAGAACCATCAACTCCTCGTTGAAACTATTCTAGAAACAAATGGAAAGAAAAAAACCATGATTGTGCGCCTCATTCATAAACATGCAGAAAACTATAATCACATTTCATTTTATTTCTATATTTTGGTATGATGCTAAGGCTTCCTTAGACTTACAAAATTCCCTGCTAAAAATATATATCACACCTAAATGTTTCCATGAGAGAATTAGCCCCTGTTTGAGCCCCATTTTTCATTAAAAAAAATGGGTTTTGTAATAGTGAATGTTTGGATAACGTGTAGTTAAAAAGAAGGAAAAATTTTGGAATTACGTGCAAATTATTTTATTGGGAGAATGTGCGGTGAAAATGAGTTTGGAAAAAACGAGTTTTTAAATAATGGGGCTCAAACATAGGCTTTATAAATATAGTTCACATTAAAAGCATGTCTGGAACAAATCATCTTACAAATTTTCCAGCCATCGCTCGCAAGTCTATCCTTGGAATCAGCTTTACAGTAACTTTCTTCCGTATATCATTCACAGCTACAACCTAGAAGTACAAGCATAATTAAAACAATTTTTAAAAATAGGTTCTTTGCCAAAAGAAAAAAACATCAAAGCAATTGAATAGCCAAGTGAAAATACACACAAAACTACATATATCGTGATTACTATTTTGACAAGTAAGATCACACCTGTGCAAGATCACCCTTATATTTTCCATTCTTCACACGGGCCCACATGCCCTCAGAGATTGCATTGGACTTGCTCCTGATGAAAAGTAAATGATGGATTTCTTTAGGGGGAACAGGGGCCACTCGACTTGGATAAACAGTGCAAAATCCTTTGCATACCTGTGTTCATAAATTAAAAGGTCAACAAATCCTTTATTAGCAGAAGGTGCCACCACAAGACCAAGAACTACAACATAAACAATTACCACCTCAATCAAATAATGATTCTACAAAAGAGAAATATACGTACCTCGTTAATATCATACTGCTTGTCGGCTTCGATATAAATGAAACCCTTCACATGATCTACTGCAAATGCGGCTATTATCTGAAGCTTAGTACCCAAATAATTCAAGTCCACGTATTTTTGCATCAAGCATAAAGCTGAATGCCTCTCACGACCAACCTAAGACAGAAACTTGCTCAGGAACAAAAAATTGAAATAAGTTTGGAACAACAACAAGATTCTGAAGCTTTATCAAAACTAAATCCAGAAGATTATGAAATCACACCATGCATTTAACTTTCCAGATTGTCGGGTCCTTGGCAGACGGCAGATATATGTCACTCTCAATTGATCTCTTATGATCATAACCATCTTCCGCATGTGTAACATAAGTGGATCCTGTCTTATATCGCTCTCCCAGCATTCTTTCAAGCTCTTCCTCACTCATCTCCTCCTCCTTGGGAAAACAAGGATATTGGGGAGCTTTGCCAGGTTCATTCTTGACTTCACCTTCAGTGGCAAATTCTTCTTCATCAAAATCTGCATATCAAGTAAAATCAATAAAACTACTTTAAATGTATTAGGTATCAATGACACTGTAAATGTATCTCTAGATCTTTAGCTAGTGCAGCATATATGAAACAAAACCACATTGTTAAGGTAAAATCAAGGCTAGACAAAACTCTCGAATCGAATCGAATCGAATCGGACCTAAACTCAACCAAACCAAGCGGTTCTTCTTAAGTTAAATACCCGAACGGATATTTGAATCGAGAACCGACGAATTTGGTTCGGTTCTTGGTTTAGGTTCGGTTCTAAACCAAGAACCGAATTTCCCTAATTTTTTTATTTTTTTATCTTAAATAAATCAAATCATTTTATTTTTTAAAATAAATTTGCGAACTAATTAATTTAGTCCAAACCCAAAATATGATTTCACTATTTCTAATTTAGAGTCAAACCCAACTTAATCAAATTGTCATAAGTTTTACTCAAATATCTTATTCTACCGTAGTGATGTTATGATATTCTATTATTGTGAACTAACCATTTTCTTCTTCCTGTAATTTTAACAATCAAATCTATGAAGAACTCAACAAAGAGAGGTACAAAAGATATGCTTAGACTATATTATTTTGTAAAAGTTAAGATTGAACATATCATAGTCGAATTAACGTAGCGTTATTGTAATATAAAAAAATTTAATTATTGTAAGAAACCCCAGAACCGAATGGAACCAAACCCGAACGATTCCATAATTAAATTTGGACCCAACAGTTTCATTTACTAAATACCAGAAAATTTAGCCCAACCCTAGGTAAAACCCAAAAATAGTGAACATGAAATTGAAAACCCAAAAATAATAACAAAATATAATAACAAAAGCAATGAGTGGTAACAACCATAGGTAATTTAAGGAATTAATTCGAAAAATGAAATTCCTCTCAGAAACACAAATTTTGATATCAAAACAACTAAAAACCCAGACAAGGAATGGTAATGACCACAGCTTCAGTTTATTAAAAATGCAAGAAAAACTTAAAAAATAATAATATAAATAAAATATACATGAAGCATAAACTCTAGGTCCAGTGAGGTGGAAAACATAACGAATTTAAATTTTGAAAAGCTGGGGAAAAAGTTTCAGTATGCCAGTGGGTACTTCTAATTCAACGTGCCAGAAAGAACTACAATTAAAAAAAAAAAAACCTATATAAAATAAAGTTCCAGTTTTTAAACAAAAAAAAAATTATACAGACGCGTACACAGATCCACCCAAAACCTTCATGCAGAAATTCACACCAAAATAGGGTGTGGGGGGGGGGGGTTGTTATTTGCACAAAACGCTCTTCCAGCTTTAAATATTATATCAAATAAACATATAAAAACGGAAAATAAGCAACGAAACGAATGCAGTAACAAACATAACCCCAAAAAAATGGATTTATTAACTCCACCTTCAAATATTTAAGCAAATAAACCCAGAGTGAGAGAAAAATAGAAGGGTAGCATGGAAAAAGAGGAAAAACCTAAAAGAGCGCTGCTCCCAAAAAAGCAACGAAATCACGTATTGAGATATCTAATACCCAAAATAACCACCAAAACAAAAAATTTCAATTACCATAATCGAGCATGGAAT